CCACATTGGAAATATTCCCCCCCAAAAAGTCTATCTAGAATCCTGTGAGCTGGAACGGCTGCTGGGGAAACACATTGTGGAACATTACCGCTCGTATTGTGCCGAGTCGTTCCAGGACTGTGCAAATTGTGTAAACCTGCAGGAATGAACCTATAAAAGCTCCAGGGACTTTTGTTTGACCTATAAAATACAATTTACTGCATCTACACGGGTCAGGAAAGTATCATCAACGCTGGCAAACCCTCCCAACACCATGGTTGGTATCCATGGGGCCCCAGCCAGAAGGCGCTTGCCGTTGGCAAAGCACAGAGGTGGATTGTTTCCAAAACTCGACATTGATGCCAAACGAGAGTACGCGAGTGCCTGGTGGTAACCCCCGGAGACGAGCGCTAATCCCCCCGGGGGGCATCAGCCCAGACGTGAAACATGTCTCACATACATTGGAATAGCCAATGGGATGCAGATTCACTCCAGTGTCTTCTTGATTTCACGGCAGGCAGAGATCTCACAGAGACAAAGAGGCCAACGGCTGAGGCTGCCATCTTCCCTCTTTGAGACAGGAAGGGCATCGGACATGAAAGGGGAATCTTTTGTTTATTATTCTCCATTTATTATTCACACTTAGAGCTTTCCATGATCTACTTTGATATTTGAGTTTTTTGCCGTCAAAAGGTTGACCATGCTGCAAGAAATGCTTCTTCATTTAAAAATCTATTTGGTGAAATGTTTTATATTGTTTTAATTGTGAAACACGCCAATGCAAACCTCTCAGAACCCAAACAGAGGTCTTTTAACCATCTTGTTTTGTCTGACACAGTCCAGAACCTAAATTCTGACACCTAAGAAGCTTGAATAAAACAATACTTAAGAACCATGCATAAAAATGACTTAATCAAGTATCAAATAAGTTGCCAGCTCTAATGCACACAGTCATTTCGAGTAGTCAACATTAGCTGAGTGTCAGCTTCTGTTCATTGTGCACCAACGTTCAATAATCACACAAAGAGAAGTAACACATTTAAAGGGAAAACGGAATCTTTTTGGATGCATGAACATAATTCCTTACAGAACGTGGTAAATGTGCTTGTTCTATCAAATCAACAGTCAGAAATACAACAATATTCAGTTAAATTTTATACATGACAAACCAAAGGTAACTTATCAATCGTCAAGCATGCCAGTTTAGAAGCAAGTAACTAAAGGCGGAACGCATACTGGGGCAATAATCCCTCCCATCCACCACGAGCACCGGCCCTCAAACCGAGCCGACAAAAGGCCCCGCTGCATCTCGAGAGATGACCTCGCAACATAGCTGGCATTCCTCAAGGGGGAAGGAAGGAAAGGGAGGCGGGGGAGGGGGGGGCAGGGGGTTGATGTTCGCCGTGGGTCAAGCATGGAAATGATTATATTGTTGGTGATTTTGTGTGTGTCTCTCTCTCTCTCTCTATGTGGCACACAATGTAGACGGTCTCTGTTCTGCCCGTTTTCAAATGTTAATGACCGGCTGACTGGTGAGGGGACGCAGCAAGCCGGTAGGGTGGTCTGGGGGAAAGGGGGTGGGAGGGGGGGTGTTGGAGGGGATCGCTATTCACTCTGGCTGGGAGGGAAGCTCTTCACGCGCACTGAAAATCTCGCCCATTGAGACTCCGCTAATAATGCAGCGGAAACTTGCCGTCACAGCGTGGTGATGCCATTACTTCAACGGGCAGCAGGTTGGGAAATGGTCGGCGCTGAATTCCATCCTATAACGAGCTGGGGAGCTTGTGGAAAAGCTGCTTCACAACACGTGAGGCTTGCCAGGCTTTATTGTTCCTGAAAATACAAAAACGTCTCCGTCTGCCAGACGAGACGGAGAACGTCCCGGTGCTGCCGGACTCGGTACCAACACCAGGGCCGCTTTGTCATGTGCATCTTCCCCACAAGCTTCCCACGCACCGACGCCACGGAATGCTCTCATTCTCACGGGGCGCTCCCCCAATGCCCCCCTCCCCCCCCCCAAACAGCACCATCAGCCACTACACCCAACTGTTTGCCCTCTCGCTCCCCTCACAACTTCCTCTTTCTTTCATTTTCTGCAGGCCCTTTCAGCATTAAGGATCCTCCTCCTCCCTCTCAGAACAATGTCTGCTCCACCCCTCGCTGCTTTTTGGATCAGTGCCTGGAGCCTGAACCCATGAAAAAGAAGCACTAAAGAAAACGCACGCACACACACACACACACACACACACACACACACACACACACACACACACACACACAAGCCAGAATGTGGGTTCACCTAATCACTCCTCACTGTGGTCGTGAAGCTATTTCTGCAACGGTTGCGTCAGATACGAAGGAATGAGTTTAAATGTTCTGGAAGTCTTTGATTTTTTATTTATTTATATTATCTTGTGCCAGAAAGTTGTGTTGTGAAGCAATAAAGCAACATTTTGACATTTTGGGAAACACGCTTTGTGGATTGTTTTTCTTGTAGAGGGTCAGACGGGAGAAGCTTGGTAACGTCACGGACTCCTGACGCGGACACTTTTTAGCTAACTATCCGGTGAAACTATTAATAAACCACAATCTGGCCTTTCAAAATAAGATATCCCGCTTCAACACCTCCAAATAGCGAAGACACGTCATGCGACTTCCTGCCTTTCACAAAATAAAAGCACTTCCTGTTAAGTACGCGATTCAAAATAAGCAGTGTTACAGAAGAATTAACTACATTTCTCATGGAATCAAACAAATAATCAAACAATTTACAACATGAACGGAGTTGAACTTGGTTTTAATGCTAAGCTAAGCTAAGCTACAGCTCTCTGGTTCTATATCTAGTCCTTGGGACTAGCCATCAGCATTTATTGATCTGGAATGGAACCGGGTGAAACCAAAACACATGATTGGCCGCTTCACTTTGCCACAGGAAACTAGTGTCACATTGTAGCGTTGTGTCGACTTCTTTCCCTTGAAAGCGACTCGCAGCCTGTCGAAAACAACCCCATTTACCCAAAATGTTGAACTTTACCTTTAAAACCTCTGGGCCTCTGTGACCTGTAAGAGATCTGCCTGTGTGCCACCCATCGGGGGGGATTACACGCATTAGGAGACCTGTGGAAGACAAGCCTCCTCATTCACACCTGAACACAGGTTGGAAAGTAGGAGGAGCCTCTGCACACTACAGCTCATCTCAGGACATGAGACGGGTTGGCTGGGGGCGCCACCCGTCTCGCTGTTGTAACATTACCGCTCTGTGAGGGCGCTTAATATAGCTGTGGATAATTCACCCGATGGGGGAGAACATAGTGAACTCTGGCACTATTTAACAGATTCTAACTGGGATGTTTGAAATTCTGACGCGCGAAAAATCCCCACCGACGCGCCGGAAAATCAGGACGCGTCATCCAATTAGCCTCTTTCCTCTGGCTCCGTTGCATAACGCAGATATATTTATCATAAGCAAAGAGCGGCGTGCGTGGTTTCTCCACTTTTATCTCGCCCCAAAGCAAACAAAGAAGGTGCAGACGCGGTTTTCACGTCACAGATCTCCCCCGGGCAGATACCATCGCTTTCATTCTCATCCACTTGACCGATCGGTGATCACAGGGCCCCGGTGGAGGTCGTTCCCCCGCTCCCCTCACTGGCGTTGCCCACCACAAAAAAACATCATTTCCCCTCGACTGCTCCCAGCTTCTCCCTGGACAATGAGTGAGTACGGACATTGACGCACACACACGCCCTCCTATCAAACAAACGCACCCTGCTAAGGAGTGACACAAGGCCCAGTGGACACCAAAAGCCCAACTGTATCAAGTCCGACGTCTGAGCCAACGCAGCTACTTCACACTTCAGCAAACAGCCGCTGCCCTGCAGGCGGAAAAACAAGCTCTGAGTCAGCCGAACACTTTGCACGGTTTTTGCTTCCCAAATATGGCGAGGCAGACTTTGGGACTTCAGTGGAGGCGAGACGACGCTGAGCTGCGGCCGTGGCCGTCTCCTAACGGCCGGCGCTTCACAAACGGAGAGTGAAAAGGACTCTCCACAACAAGTGGCTACTGACTGACGTCAGGCTGTCCGTCACGAGACGGCCAGAGCCTCCGATTGGTCATGTGCCGAAGTCAAGGGCACTATTAGAGATTTTGTGAGGACATTTTTTGTTAAGGGGAAGCGTCTGATGATCTCAGCCAGAAGTGGAACGTATGACAGCACAGTTAATGATAGAAATCAGCAGCATCTATGATTGTATTCAGTTGTGCTGACAGCATTGCGTCATTGCCATGATGTTTTAGTCACTTGACATACAGAATAAACCCCCTGACGAGGTTTATCAGTTCATCTAGAGGTGAAATCAAGTAGTCCAGATTAAATTTGGAAACATTAATGCTAAACATTTCCCGTAAGAGGATTGTATGCCTTTCTTCACCGATGCGATCGAAAAAATGGGTCAGCAATGAACAAACGGAGACAATAAAAAGACATTCCGCTAATGGACGGTGACAATGTTTTTTAGAGGTCATCCGAACAAATAAGCTTTTGAATTTCAGGGACATGAACACGTTGTCCAGGACTGACCTCATCGGAACATTAACCAAAAACACAGCAACAACACGTCGTGTCATTGAGGCCACACTGAATGAGATCATTTCTACCAGGTGGCAACTGGATTTTCGGAAGTGAAGTGTTCTATTCTGATGAAACCTATTTCTACTATTTTAATGAAGGGGGGGGGGGGCGTTTAACCCTATTTACGCCCCTGTCATAAATCCAGCCTCTAGCGATGATGCGGTGTCAAAATAAGACACGTACACACCGACAAACCACACAACACGCAAAGAAGCATCCTCTTCACATTACAACCAAATCTGATATTCGAAACCAAACCCGGATGCGCTCGTTCACAGAACTCTCAGAACTATCGCCGTGAAACCCAAAGTGGGGACGTCCACGCTCTTATTTGCCAGGTTTCACCGTGGCGAGAGAGACAGGTAGGGACCGGTCACCGCCAAATCACTTACTTTGTATTTCATGTTGTAGCGCTTCTGTCTGCGACTCCGGCAAAAGTGAGCGCAAATATCCGCTTGGTCGCGTCACGCGGCGCGCGTGTGAAGCAGGGATCGCGCGGGCGGTTAAGCGGCCATCCGGGGCGTCGTGCGCGGAGAAACGAGCGCGTCGGAGCCTCCCTGAATGCAGCGCTCCTCTCGACTCCTCTGCGCCGGAGTCCTGCTCGCCACATTGACGGGTCGGAACCGCGCATTTGCATAAGACGCCGCTGATTGGTCTGAGGAGGCCTTCTGTCCCCGCCCACCGCCGACTGCCCTGACGTCATTACCAGACAACGTGTAATGTATGCGCAGTATATTTAATCCTGTGCATACATTGCAGGCTGTAATCCCATACATTATTTTTTTCTTTCTTTCAATATTTTTTCAGTAAGTAATTTTGAAAATATAAAATATTGATATTTCTGAGAATCACGTTTTAATCATTAGATTAACACCATTTAAATTGTGCCAAATTTAGCTATTGGATTTTCTTGTTTGTAATGAACCCATGGATGTACACACAACAATCACTGGAATACTTTACATCTTAAAATATGCATCATAATTGTGTTGTAGCTGAGAATAAGTAGGCCTTAACTTGTTTATACAAACATCTGCAATCATCACTTCATGAAAATATCATATACTACATTTTAATTGGTTTTAATTTCATTCTTTTAGTTTTATTTGTGTCGGTTGTTGACCGAGTAACTCGTGAATTAGCTTTAATGCCAAACATACATTGACTAAAGTATAAGCACAAGTTGACTGAATGCATGGAAGGAAGTTCTTAGAGCTCTGTTTGTGTCACGGCTGTTCTTCTCAGAAACAGTTCAAATCTTACAAATGAAGGAAGTGTGATTATGTTCCGTTTTCTTCTGCACGGTCTGTTGGCTCAGAAAAGAATGTGTCACCGACCAACAGCGCAGCTCCACCAACACCATCTTCATGCTCTGTTATGCATAAATAAATACACAAACTAAAATGTTTTTATCTCTGAGGTCCTACCCATCGAACGTGACGTACCCGAGCATCACCAAATTTGGTTCGGAACCAAGCCAAACCCAAGCCAGAACACACCAAGAGGAATATTGTGTACTCATCAGGAACAAATATATGAATGCTTCACACCGTTCCAAGCATTAGAATCTAGGCTGCAATCTGCACTCATCCGAAAATACTCAAACAAATTGTAAAATATGTCATGCAAATTAGTCCAGAAAATATCTTCACAGCAGTGCCTGTGTACACTTTTTAGCTAGAAGCTAATATAGAAAACAAGACACGAGTGGCGTCCGTATCATTTCTCTCAGACAAACCTCGCCAAAGCCAAAGCAAAATAACCACCGAGCATCCCGAGCCTTACCTTTGACGTTTTGAACAAAATTATGAAATTGAATAAATCGGCCACTGTATGTGCATCACAAGCAACTTCAGCGCCTTCCACGCAGGTTTTATGGGTTGGGTTGGGAGGGTTTCCCAGCATCTCTGTTGTTATTTTGCACTCTACCCATTTTGGCTTTTGAATGGCTAAGGAAGCTGTCGCGTTGAAGTTGTTGAACGATGTAATCTAGAGTAGTCTATCTTCACTCTATCAAAGTTTTTGAACTGGTATCTCCATATTTTACAGCCGGTCTGTGTTTTTTTCAGGTGATTCTTAAAATTTGAGGGCTATTTTTGTATGTTATATTGATTTATTCCTTCACCAGTGACATGTAAACACATCAGAACACTCACACAGGTTCTCTTTTACCCTGACAGAAAAACAATTGTCCAGATAAACAAAGTAGTTCAAGAATTATTACACTTTTTTACATGGTATGCTATTTTCGGAGCAGAAGCCAAAAAAAGACTAGGTGTTAGAAAACACTGGCCGTACGTTATTTGGTATTTCTCTGAATCAATCTTTCGATTTCCAATCTCTCTATAAAAACAAAACACAATTTCTAATATGCAGGCGGTACAGGTTACAGTAAAGAACATTTAAAGATGACCTTTAGTGCTCACCCCGACTCGAGAGAAGACAGCACGGATGGCAGCAGCGATGTCAGATCTGCAAAAAATCCGCGCAGGATGTGACGGAGGTGAGGAGACACGCCTGAGCTGGCAGGGACACCATTGGTCTCTATGCATCACCCCGCTAACGCCCCCTCAGTGCAGTTCTTGAAATCTGCATGTCATGAAACACAGGAAATCAGAGGAAATAAAGTCTCTTCTGAAACCTGAAGCACGCGTACAGACCCGACGGGGGTCCGTCTGTTTGTAGCAGCGAGTGTTTTCCTCTAAATGGGGAGAGACCTCCTGTCATTAGCCTGCCTCTCGTGTGTTTCCCTTACTCTCTAATCTGCGTCGGCTCATTTATCGCAATCACAGGGGCCCTATCTGCCCTCATTGTCCCCCTCTGAACAGTCACATCCTCAGATGAATGCCTCTTGTGAGGGCACTCTAAACACTTGTTTGTGTAACATGCACCGTGGCCCAGCTGTAGACCATTCTTCAGGGCCACAAGTGGGCACCGGTGTGGGGTATTATTTTCCGCATAAGGCGTGTTATTATATGTGCATGTGAGCACCTGTTTCCTTTGACGAACAACTCATTTCGCCATCTGCACATATCAGTGCTCTGGAAGAAAACAGCCCAAAATAAAGCCCCTGTTCTCCTGCTACAAAAACATCGTTTATCTCCGATTCACAATCTGGGACTGAATGAGCCCATTAGTCTTCAGTCTCTGGTGGCGAGTCATTTCGGGCTGGTTTCGACTGGAACCTGGCGCGCTGGTGGAGAGGGCCGGTTCAGAAAGCGTCTTTCGAGCTTGAGCCACGGCCCCCCCAAAATCCCCCTTTTGAATCTCGCCGGAGAAGTCAAACAGCCAGCGGGAGAGATTTGCATTGGCATCTAAGTCGCCGAGCCCCGGTTGCCATGGCAACTGCCACGCGCAGACCCGGGGTGTTTGGCGGTCTCGGACCTGCTGAAAAAAGGCCTCCAGAGGTCCCTCACCAAGGGCACATTTCAGCGCGGAAATAGCCGACAGCGGCGCGAGTTACAAAAAAATAACTGCCTGCCTTTCGTCTCTGCCAGGTCTGGACAGAGGCCACAGCAGACGCGCGTCTTCCATAAGTGGACATCACGGCTGGGTGGACAGAAGCGGGAGGCGACGACAGCTCCGGGGGCGGAGAGGTGGCCCCTCGCCGCCACGTGAAACCACGTCCCTCAAACCGGCTCAGGCAGGTTTATGGGACCACCACCACCACCCTAAACTCGAAGCGCCCCCCAACCCCCCCCCTGCCGCCTCGTGTAGCCCGGTGACCCGGTGACCCGGTGACCCGGCAGCAGCAGAGAGGAATGCGCAAAACACACAAGAGAAAAAAAGAGAGAGAAAATATGAATCTGACACGCAGTTGGGGTCATGATGTTTTTCCCCCATTCGGCAAGATCTGTTAAACATAAAATGATGTTTAACAAGATTAGGTCATTATTATGACACTACTTACCAGTGGGTATGGTTTAAGTAAGGTAGATCGTTTGGTAAAGGTGAGGAAAAGTGTTTTTATGGACTGTTCTCTGTATAATATTCACACTTCTATATAGAATGAATCAATCATGTCGTCCCTCTGTTGGTGTTGTAATCCAAGCTTCTCTGGACTTTGTTGACAGAGCGAGGGCCTGTTGCCCCGCTAGCTAGCTAATGGCCGCCGCTCCCCACTGTGGCTACAGCTCATGACAGCATCCCTAAGGGTTAGCGCCCCCCCGCCCCCCCCACAAGTGCCCCTCGGGTAAACACCGTTAGCTGAGTCTGCGTCGTTAGCTCCTGAGTGCGGATACATGTGCTGTCAATTCTTTATTTAGCTCCTTGCAATCAAACTCTTATTTCCAGCAGAGTTGCCACAGCCATCCACCACCCTGAGCTCCACGCCTTAATGACGCACCACCACCACTACTACTACTACAACTACTACTACTACTGCTACTACTACTGCTACTACTACTACTGCTACTACTACTACTACTACAACTACTACTACTACTACTACTACTACTACTGCTACTACTACTACTAAGCATGTTGGCCCCGTGCTTGAGTTGTTTTTTTTGCATTGCGAGAGCCAAAAACAAATTGGATTCAGCTTCATTGTAGCTGAGGGAGGCAGGAAGCTTTAAAATTCTGAAAAACACATACAAAGAAAACTATCAGTGGTTAAACAACTAAATGATATATATCTTTCGTAGGTTAATCAGCCCTTTAATTGGGAAAAAAAAACCCACTTCACCTCCACTGTCGACATTTGAAGTGGACATTTTCTTATTCATGTACCTCGTACGATGTACCAACAGAGGTAAAAAGACAAAGTATTTTGCAGTTACACAACAACAACACAACTACCTCCTCTCATCATTTCTAAAGGACTTCTGAATCAATAATGTTGGCGTCAACTAATTATAAAGAGCGATCTAGATGACACAACAAATCTCAAAGACAATTGAACTCAACGTCACTTTTCAATCTTCGTAATTCTGTCAAAATTGCCGGCATATTATTTCCTGGACGTCTCTTCTGCGTGTCAACGCCAGTAGATTGCGTGATGAGTAGTGGGCAGACACACATACGCACAACTGCATTATCTCTCCACAGGCTGTCCCTGGAAGAGATGATAATAATAATGTGTTTTTAGTTGCAAAAATGAGAATGTGGACCGCTGATGTACGGTGAGCACAGCTTAGCATAATGACAAGCAATCGTTCTCCTGGCATCAGCAACATTACGCTCTAACCTGGAGGAACGAAGGTAAGGGCACATCCCAAAAGGTTTTTAGAACAACAGTCACCAATTATTGCATAGAAAAGGAAACTACATCATCTACACGATCTGAAGATCTCCACCGCCCAACTCCTCTCTCTCTGCCCACCCTTCTGTGTGTCCTCGGTCACAGCCCTCCTACATTACAGTAGATTAATTCCCTCCTGCATCATTAGCCCAATCAAGCACACGTCGATGAAACAGTCACAGGACTGTGAGCATCGTAGCCTTTAGTGACCAGCTACGCGGCTCCAGTCTGACCCACCTCACTGACGAGAAGGCTTCCATTCACGTCAGAGTGTATTTCAATGACCTGAATAGGTCCTTGTGTGCGGCTAAAGGCTTTGCTTTATTTTGCCTTCAGCTCAGCCGCGATACGAGTGAAAAACAAGGCCATAAAA